GTGAAATTGTGGTCTTGAAACAGCCAGTGGAAAGTAGGTACATACCTTATACTTCTTCAGGAAGTTCGGATTGCCAACCAAAAATGCACTTCACAGTTCAAACATAGAGAAAAAATCACTAATCACTTTTTTACTTTTTACAAGTTTTTTCATCATTCATTCGACTAGAAATTTGAGATTTTGGACGTTCTGCCATTTTGCGATTCTCGCGCCTCTCGCGATGTTTTTGGAAAGAATGGCCAATCTTAGAACACACAGACCAATCAAGTTGGCGGCTGTCAGATTTCATCGAAAACTTTTGACGAAACTTTTTCACTACTAAATGATTACACCATAGTTATAAGCATCTCAGGTATGACGTAACCTTAGGGACTGCACCCATCGATTGGTAATTTTTATCAGCCTCCACCACTGGAGGTTGAACACTCGAAGAGCCAACACCAAGGAATTGTTTTAAAATTTAAAACGGTCCTACCTTGGCTTTCGGTCGATTTGTCATTGGTAAGTGTATAACTTCCCTCACTACTCTGCTGAGGTCTACCATCAATCATCCTTTCGTAGTTTAACGATTTCCTTGGCCTCAAATCGTAATCATTTGGAGTACGCTGCATCTCGATTTCGATTCCAACTCTTCAGGAACAATACTTGGTACTCGCAGATAGCCTCACGTGATGGGTGTCAAGTTGTGACGGATCTTTATCTCAGGGCGCAGTATGGGGTTCTGCCTGTCTCGGGTTCAGTGCCCAAGAAATATAAACCCGAAGATTTGAAGTGATGCTGACTAGACTCATTTATTTTCACAATAGATCTGGAATTTGACATATATCAATATCTTGTGATATGTTTGACACTAATATACAAAGTTGTTGACTGAAAATTTGAAAACACATCGAAATAGTTACATCACTTACTTGCAATTCTTCCACATGGCGAACAGATATCCTTTTTTTGTAATATAATCGACATTATTCCACCTACCTGAAATTTGACCAGGCGACAACCATATACGTATTAATAATCAATACGGATAATCTCTATCTGTTTCCATAGCGAAACATGAAGCCGATTTTTGAAGACAAATGACTATCCATAAGGAAAAGTTTTGAAACGATCAGACACATACTGCTTTGATTGAAAGGCTAGTAAACGTCATTGTCCACCGAAACGCATGTCTTTGATGACTACTATAATAGCGCATGGCGCATGCGTATCATGCCACCAAATCCTTATGGATATTCATCTGTTTCATATTTTTGGCTTCATCCTGGCACCCGTTATGATCCGTATTGTTTATTAATACGTATATGGCGACAACACAAAGAATTTTGGTGTTTCACAGACACAAAAGGATCAGAAACCATCAGTTATTGCAGAAATATGTTACTTTGCGGTGCTGGACATGCGACGAGTCTCAAAAAGCAGATGGTCGCACACCTCATATGAAATCTCGAATGAGTTTCCTAAAACCTAGCAAAAACTAGTTCTTATACCCGTCGGATTGATAGGCGATTCAAATCATGCAACAAAAAAAACCTGGGTACGGACCAAGGAATTATGGGCCTGATACATATGCAACTAGCCGTGTTTACTGCTGTAGTAAGGGTTGCCTAAGCAAAAAGAAGAAACATTGTTTCATTTTATTATTGGGCTGTGTCAAGCGTACCGTGGACGTGCCAGTAAAAGGAGATAGAGTAACTAAGAAGTAATAATTTTGAATCATGAAATACGGAATATTCACATAGAGACATGGAAAAGTGACGTTCCACACCTTCGAAAACAGCTATTCGAAATTGAAATTGCCAGAGTGCATATCATGGAGAGCTATAAGAAGGTCGTGCTACAAAGTAGAAGTAATTTTTTTTCCAAAAACGTTAATGAAATTTTCGAAATAAAACCAGTTTCTCCCATACAGAGTAAATATTTATAGGTATACGGCCAAGAAAAAATCGAGCAGAAAAAAGCAACTAAAAAAAACCTCAATGGTATCAATGATAACATAAATAAAAATCTGGCAGAAAGAAGCACCAGGGCTCAATTGCACATATTGCTGGTGCTGCGAGAGCAATCTTATTTTGAGTTGACTCGACGTACAAATATCAACAACAACGAAGATATTTTGACAAATTGTATTTCGAAAATAAATAAATGAGTATTTCAGAAACAAGTAAAGATCGAGGAAATTTGGAAAAAAGAAAAGGACAATAGCTAAATTCCATCAATATCTTCGGCTCTGACGATTTTTATGATGCGATCAGAGTTATAACGCTTGACGAACACGTTACCATGATTTGTCCATACCTTCCCCATCTTCGCTATTTTTTCCAACGCTGCTTTCAATAGTTTGATTTTGCCAGGCGCCAAGTCCTCCCTAATGACGAGTTTTGTTCCTTTTAGCAATTTTTTATTATAATGAACCATTTCCTTGTGATACCTGGTGGAAAATTGTATCAATATCGGTCTGGTCCAGATATACAGTCTGTCCAAGGTAAGGTTGAACAGCATGGGGATCTCGAAAACGGTAAGAGATACGAAATCGGTTAAATGGGGAAAAAGTTGCGCATTCGAAGGCTCATATCAAGAGCCTTCGAAAATTTTGAAAATTATTTTTAGTTTTTGAGTTATATCGAAAAAAGTGCATTTTTGGAATTTCTATTTTATTTTTTTTTTCTCCGTTATTATTAGAGATACAGCAAAACTGAGAATACTTTTTCATAGCAACTTTTGATGACGGTCAACGTGGTGATACCGATTTTTTCATGCGACGTTTCGTATTCGTGGAACCATCATCAACTTTTGTTTTTTGAATACGGTCCTGATAATTTTTTCACAGATTCTAAAAGGTTTTTTTATTCTGAATTCAACCATGTATTATACAAGATGGTTCATTTGTGTTTCGACCTATTTCCATCCATCATCAATGTTTTTTCGAAACTCCAAAGGAATAATGCCATCAGTTCCACTTATTTTGAAGGAAAATCAGTCAACACACTAATACCTCATCAACTGGTTTCAATCAACAACCCCTTTCATTTTGCGGAAACAAAAATTCCATCCATACAAATTCAGAATATGTCAAGCGCTAAAACCAGAAGATGACGAAAGGCGCAAGACATCCTGTGAGTGGTATACCAGGAAATGTTAAAATTTTGCAGATTTCTTTCGAACAATCATCTGGACTGATGAAAGCATGGTCACTAATCATGGTAGCTTCGATAGAAAAAATACACATTATTGTTCACGAGAAAATGAACATTTTTACATTACAGCGAGACACCAACACCGTTTCGGCTTCAATATGTGGGTTGCAATATTTGGTACACGAATTATTGTTTCTTCTATTTACCATGAAACACAGACTTCCGAACGTTATAGAAATTCGCTTGAGAATCGTCTTGAGGAAGCTCTGGGTGATTTACCGATTGCGGAAGTTCAGAACTCTGTTGGTTTCAACAAGATGGCGCTCCGGTACATAATTCCAGAGAAGTCCGTGCGTTTTTATCCCTTGAACGGCGCGGTCGCCTGATTTAACACAGCTGGATTTCTTCTTAGGGGATATATCGAACTTTGTACACGCAAATAACTTTGAGGATGAAGAAGAACTAAGGGAAAGTGTCTTCGAAGCATTCAATAGAATAACCCCAGAAATGCTCAGCAATGTCTTAGAAACAACTGTGAGAAGAGGATATCTTTGTTCAGAAAATAATGGTTATCATTTTGAACATTTGTTATAAATGTCTCTGTAGGTATTGTCAAAGTTAAGTTGTTAAAGTAATTCGTGTAAGAATTCATCAACAATTTTAAACGCTGCATTGATCGAATGATGTAGTGAAATATTTTTTATTCACTTTTCAGTATTGAATAACTAATCCATCAAGTTTGACACTAAATGATAAGAAATAAGTGGAACTGATGGCTTTTTTTCTTTTGGAAGTTCGAAAAAACATTGATGATGGATAGAAATAGGTCGAAACACATTCGAATCACCTTGTATAGTACATTGTTGAATTCAGAATAAAAAAACCTTTCAGAATCTGTGAAAAAATTATCAGGGCCGTATTTAAAAAACAAAAGTTGATGATGGTTCTACAAATACGAAACGTCGCATAAAAAAATCGGTATCACCACGTTGAACCTCATCAAAAGTTGCAATGAAAAAGTATTTCCAGTTTTTCTGTATCTCTGATAATAACGGAGAAAAAAAAATAAAATAGAAATTCCAAAAATTCACTTTTTTCGATATAACTCAAAAACTAAAAATAGTTTTCAAAATTTTCGAAGGCTCTTGATATGAGCCTCCGAATGCGCAACTTTTTCCCCATTCAAGCGACTTCGTATCTCCTACCGTTTCCGAGATCCCCATGCTGTTCAACCTTATCTTGGACAGACTGTATACAGATGATAATAATAGAGTAGGTATACCTAGGAGTTGAAATGGATTAATTTTAGAGATATTCGCCCAGGTAAATCACATAATAAAGTTTTCGGATGATAACCTCCCAATTTTGATCATTTCATCGATAAGACTTATTCAAATGAAATGCTCGAAAAACTATTTGAGATGTTTATCGAATATGAGCAGGCAGACGACCTAACCCAATTACTAATGGTGGATTTATGCAGCGATCGTAATCGCAAGTCTTAGTCGCAAATCGGAAGTCGTAGGTCGTAAGAAAATTCAATGATCAGATTGGTATCGTAATATTCATGCACAAGTCGTAAGTCATAAGTCGTAGTCTCAAGAATTCAACTATTACGATAAACGTTTACGATTCATCAGACAGGGCAGGCGTGTGATTTTCATAATTGACTTGAAGAGCTAAAAACTCACAAACAAGAAGAAGACTACATCTTGACTCAAGACAGAAGAATTATTCAACTTCATGTTATTCTCCCTCCATTTTATTTCGCCTTCACTGTCATTTGGTTGTGTCATTTGTCATTCTTGGTCTTGTCATTTGTCATTGTGTTTCTTTAATTATCTTCCACGTGCGTTCATTTATATTTTTTCGATTGTGTTTTCCGTTGTTGTTATTTGAGTCTTTAAATTGTTCAAATATGGAGAAAATTGTAAATGATGGCCAGCTCATCGAGTTGGTTAGACAATTTTCCGTATTATATGACCCCAAAAACCGGGAATATAAAAATAATGAGGTCAAGTCCAATGCTTGGAAAACTATTGGAGAAGTTATGAATGCATCAGGTAACATATTTGTGATTTCTAATTTTCTGTCCAAATAAACATATATGTGATTTTATTTGCGGAATGTGAAGCTCGCTGGTTCAGCCTGCGGACCATATATTCCAGGGAATCAAAACAAGTCAGAACCACTCCTACAGGATCAGCAGCTACCAAGCCATGGAGGCGGTTGGAAGAAATGGCATTGTTGAGTGCCTATATGAGGAGGAGACAGTATGTGATTTCATTGTTGTATTGTTTCAATTTTATTTCTAATGTAATATTTTTAGAACCAGAGGAAATGTGCAAACGGTAGGGCCACCAGAACCAAGTCCAAGTACCTCAGAAACAAGTTCTGAGAATCCCTGGGATTTCATATCGATTATCACTGGGGAGACGGAGAGTCAAGAAGAGGGCCCAATTCTTGAGACCTCAAACATTGAAACTAGTTCACCAGCAATGCGCAATGAAAGAAGTAAGCGGAAAAGAACGACTTCCACAGGTGAACTGATGGAAACAATCAATAAAGCCTGGGGAACATTTGATGCTGCGTTTCAACAAAAAAACAATCAGGACAGTGACAATGCAGACACTACATTTGGGAAGATGGTGGGACTTGAATTGAGTGAAATTAAGGACAAAAATATAAAATTCAATCCAAAACAAAAAATTTTGAAAATTTTACATGAAGCAAGCAATGAAGATGATGAATGATTAGTTGTTCATAATAATATACTATATTCCATAATATTAAATATATAAATTAAAACAAATATTGCATTTTTAATTCTTATCAATGTACTCTCTCCAGGTTTTCATTACAAAAACTCTGTTATTAAGTATTTATTTTTCTCTTATTCGAAATAATAACAAAAACAAGTGATTATATACATTTTTGCAATCAATTTATTCAATTATTGTTGTACTTTTTACAGGATAACATAAATATACTTATGATAATCATATACACATGGTTTCGCACCTAGCTGAACTTTTTATAATTTATCAGGTAAAGATCCCTTCATTATTGACTCTAATTGCCAATTCACACTTCCTTCATTACTATTAAAATAATCACATAACATATCTCTGTTCGCTCTAGCAGATGCTTTCGCATTGTTGGATCCTAATTTACCCACACTTCTCATAGTAGGCTTCTTCCTAGGCTTTTCTTGTCCCTGTGTTCCAGGTAAGTCTTCTGATTCCCCTTCTGTATTGCCAGTTGGACAATAAAATCTCTCTGATATAGGAATGTCCTCCTCTGCCCTTTGTACGAAATTGTGGAGCACAACTGTGGCCAAAGCAATGTTTTCACATGTTTGCACATCTCCAACTATTGGCTTTCGCAAAATTCACCACCTTTGAGCCAGTATGCCAAAAGTATTTTCAATACAACGCCGTGCTCTGGACAATCTATAATTGAATATCCTTTTTCTTTCATATAAATTTTCATTTGGATATGGGCGCATGATATTTTCAGTTAGAGGAAATGCAGAATCACCTACAAAAAAATGCGGCAACACTGTGTCAGCAGTATTTGGTAAACAGCGACCTGGGGGTATTTGACACCTATTCTTCAACACAGCATGTCCAAAACCAGACTCCTCAAAAACCGTTGTATCATGGTTACTACCAGCTGCGCCTATGTCAACTGCAGTAAATCTGTAGAAAGCATCACAGCTAGCCATCAAAACAATGCTGTGGTGTTTTTTATAATTGAAAAAAAGAGAGCCCCCATGATATGGTGCCTGGATGCTAATATGTTTGCCATCAACGGCTCCTACACAATTTGGCATGTTCCACCTTTTGAAGAATCCCTCTGAAACGTTGTGCCATTATTGTTCTGTTGATGGTGACTTCAAGTAAATTGGTCCTAATACATCCCATATGATTTTGGTAGTTTCGTGAATTATCACACATACTGTTGAGTGACCAACCATATGGCTCAGAGCAAGTCTTGCATGGAACATCCCTCAGCTAAGTAGCTACAAGAAAATTAAAGTATTAAGATCCTTTGTAAATAGCCATGCTCACATTGGAATGGAAGATGATCAATAAAAAAGTAATTTATAAATTATTTGAAAGCAATATACTCACTGTAATGTTATTACAAGTCGTTGAGCAGGGTGTATTGGACGCTTCCTTTGATCTTTGACCAAGTGAGGTTTTATCATGTTCAGCAGGTGGAAAAAAAGTTTCGGAGTCAATCTGCAATATTTAAAAAAGCCTTCTTGGTCATGTAGCAACATTGACTGTAAGGTAATATTGAAAATGCCCTTTTCTTTCCTTAACCGATTAATAGGCTTGACAGCATATCTTCTTGGTTTTCTCTTGTTGACCATCAAATGGATTGTGGTAGTTGTTAATAATGTTAACATGAATAGTGCATTCAAGTGGTCATCCATATTTTCTAGCACTTCCCAGACTTCCAAAATCTGAAATGAAATCATCATTAGGCAATAACTCAAATGATTCATCATGAACTCTATTCCCAAACTCTAAACAATAATTTTGGTAGGTATTTATCAATAAAAAATACCAGTTACCAAAATAATCAGCTGCCAATAGGATACAAATAATAAAAATTTCACAATTGTAATAACTCACTCCTTCGATATTCACTCAATACTAATGCAATTCTATTTTGTGTATTCCTTTTATTCAAAACCAGGTACCAAAATCTTAAGTCATTACTCTACCAAAACCAATATAGGCAATTCACAATGAATCAATGGATTACCAGGAACAGGCCATTTGAATCAAATTATATGATCATTGGGAAGAGGTAACTAGGCAATCATTAAAAAAAACATTAATTGGATTATTACAGGTAATCCATGGGATATTCATTTTAGGTTATCTATTTGAATTTAAGTATTGTGGAATGCGATTGCGCAACCAATGAAATACATTTATTATTAGGGTTAGGTGTTTCTTAGGATTTCTTAGGATTCATGCATGAATCAAATGTTCAATTTTTCAAGACTACGACTTACGACTTACGATTTGCGACTAAGACTTGTGATTACGATCGAGGAATAAATCCACCATAAAAAGTCTCAATTTCGACAGTTCACTTTCACTCAGATGCCATGAACACTTTTTTCATCGAGAAGATATAATCATTTATACTTGATCAATATTGACATCCGATGGTATCACTTGAGCCCCTCGAACTTATAACTGAAACTTGAAGACTCAATAAGTAGAAACTATATGTGATTCAGTTATTGAATCCCTGAAAATCTCATACATAGGTACTAATGATGTATCCTTTCTTCCATTATTCATTGACCAAAATTACAATTCAATCCGACTGACAGATGATAATTCATTAACTAAAAACTTTCCACTATACGGTGCTACTATTGAAGTTAGGGATTTGGCTGGATATACTCATTAGCTCGCAATTAAATTGCACATTGTTTACACACGAATTTTTTGGGTTCTTTTCCTACTTTTCCACAGTCTTCGTGATACCAGTGATTGCATCTATTGCACAATATCATTTTACTTCCCCTATTTTTCTTACATCTATCTTTATAGTGGCAAATAAGAGAATTTCCATCCCAATAATTTTCTATCAATCCTGACAAAAATTTAATGGTTGTGTGCTTTCCTGAATTAGTAATTACTTTCGAATCATCCGTGTTTGAAAAAGTGAATATTAATTTGCTCAGCTTTGATTTATTATATCTGATTGTTTTGTATGGATTCGTGCACAGTGTTAAAATGTTACATTTTATCTCTCTCCTATATAACGCAGTATCTTTCAACTCTTCTGCATCACCTTTCAGGATCGAATTATATAGAATTTGTTTGTTGAGGAATAACATTTGGTTGATATAATTTCCATGATTCAATATCAATCGTTTCACTCATGTACTGATGATACCCGCAATACAAGTTCAATATATATTTTATGTGAGGCATTGAGATACCACCCTATGAACCAAATGAAATATATCAGTTGTAACTCCCTTTTTATATTCGAAAATATTAAAAGGGGTTTGTGTAGCTTTTATTGCTCTTGCCTTTGGGCTGCTCAGAATTGATGCGGGAGGGTCGGGGTAAGGATCTTCGTCTCGTGTGAGAATTCCCTTTATTGGCCAATTTATCAGAAAATTGCGCTAATACCTCTTGGATGAGATAAGTTAATTACAAGGTTATTATTTAAGATAAGATATGTTAGTTAAGTTATATTGAGATAGGTCAAGATACGTTAAATTTTTGTGGGCGCCAGGACCTTTTTTAAAAAAAAGATGCCGAAAAAGAAAAAGAATTCCTTAAGAAGAAAATCACTTGGGAAACAGAAATTCTCACCTCAGACGGTATGAATGTTCTCTAATAGAATAAATAAGTCAGATTCATACTAACATTATATTTACAAAAAAACTTGAATGATCGATTTCTGTACAACAAGAAGTTATTATTTACAATTGACTATTATTCCACTTAATCAAAATGATTCAGATTATATTACTGGATAAAAAAAATATGATGATCAACCACTATCCATGATTGATATCTATACAACAAGAAATTGTCATTTACAATTGACTATCATTCCACTTAATCAAAATGATTCAAATTATATTTCTGGATTTAAAAAAAAATGAATTACGACGATCAACTACTATTCAATATTATTGATTAAGGAATATTAATGAATTTGTCTCACAGAAAAATTTTACTCTTTTTGGTATGCAGTTTTCTTCTGTCTGGAACTAGCTGCCTTATTGATATGACCTCCTCAAAGTGAGACTTACTCTGTCCCAGCCCTCAGGTATGTATTGGCCCACCTTTGATCTGCTGACGATTTCTCGATGTTCAGGATCTGTAGTTGTAGCTTTAATGGCCTCCTGACATTTCTGAGTCGGGCTTCAGCTAAGGTGAGTGCTTCAGCTTGTGATATGGCTCATGGACAATTTCAGTCTCCAACTTTGCTTCATTCCGGAATGGAGTATTCTTGAAATTCCTGTACAGACAATATCTACAGCAGTATGTGCACTACCACAGAGTAAGGAAGAAATACAATCAGAACCATCTGGTTCAGAGTAGGTACAAATTCATTCAATACTTTAATCAATGATTAACAAGATAAATACTCAAAATGAGTAGTTTTATCTGCTTCTGCTTTGAAGATAATCGAAAAGGAAAAATGATCGTGAATCTCTCTCGATCTTCAATCCATATGTCAAAAAAAAAATATATATATATGTTATACAACAATTGCCTTCAACAATGTGAAAATCAATTTGAGAATAAAGTGGATTAATCCAGTTATGACAACAACAAAAAAAATATTATTTTCTTTTTAATAATACTGTATGTATAACTGAGATACGCAAATTCGAAATATGGACTCTGACTTTGGTGCAACAGCATGTATGAATCTTCAAATCTTTAGAAAAGTACTTAGAATAGTCACTCTGACTACTTCTGGTGAAATCTTTTACTAATGATCAACCATGTAATGCTGAAATTTAAAAGATAATGTTTATTCTGAAACTATCTGAGAAAGTCCAAAATCTCCAAAAAAAAACAGTAAGTCTCATTGCATGACTAGAGCCAGAAAACACATCAGTACACTCTCTGAAAGCAAATGGAAGATAATGGAAAGGTGGCCTTCGTGTCAATAGGTAATTTAAACTGAGGAAAAAATATATTTACTGCTGATTATTCGTCAGTTTGTCTGCTTTCTGCCAGATAAG